GAAAGAGAAGGGATGAGGGCAGAAGTGCGGGAGATGGGTCGGACCTGTTTGAGGGCCCTGTTGACAACGGAGCTGGGGAATCCTCGGTTGAGGAAGAAGGTGGACATGTCGGAGGCTCCCTTGTCGAAGTTGGCCTCATCTGAACATATGCGATGGAGACACAGCAACTGAGAGAATGGGATGAAGTCTTTACAGGAAGTGGGATCTGAGGATGTATAGTCCAGGTAGCTGTGGGAGTCTGTGGATTGGTAATGGATATTAGTGACCAGTCTATCCCCAGAAATGGAAACAGAAATGTTGAAGAAGGGAAGGGAGGGGTCAGAGATAGACCAGGTGAAAGTGAGGGTCGGGTGGAAATTGGAAGCAAAATATTTGAAGTTTTCCAATTCCAGACGAGAGAGAGAAGCAGTACCGGTGATATAATCAATGCATTGGAGAAAGAGTTGTGGGTGGGGGCTAGAACAGGACTGGAAAAAGGAATGTTCCACGTACCCCATGAAGAGACAGGCATAACTAGAACCCATGCGGGTACCAATGGAAAACCCCTCTTACCTGAAGAAAATGAATCTCCTCACCACCGGCTGGTCTGCAATCCACCAACACCACACCTCCCCCCGACCCCTCCCACACCTGCCCACACAAGGCAAACTAAGCTCAGGGTCTTTGCAAAAATAAAGGCCGGAGTTTGGAGGTCTTCTGGACATGGGAGGGTCTTTCAAAACATGTCAAGGTTGTGTGGGGGGTGCGAATATCACTCATTGCGCTGTGGTGTGGCAGATTGTGTTTAATTTGCATAAATGCGAGACTTTACTTTCGGTAAAACAAACAAGGGCAGGACTTATACAATTTAAATTAGGACCTTTGGTAGTGTTGCAGAACAGAGGCTCGGACATCAGGTATAATTCTTTGAAGTTTGTGTCACATATAGACAGGGTGGTTAAGAAGAAATTTAATTCGCTACCTTCATTGTTCAGGCCGAAAGTTTAGGAGTTGGGATGTTATTTTCACGTTGTACAGTATGTAGGTGAGGCATCTTCTGAAGTACTGTGTCCAGTTCTGGTCGCCCTGTTATAGGAGGATAATATTAATCTGGAGAGGGATCAGCAGAGATTTACCGGGATGTCGCTGGGAATGGATGGTTTGAGTTATCAGGAGAGGCTGGATAGGCTGGGACTCTTCTCATTTGTGCGTAGGAGGTTGAGGGGTGACCAGATTGAGGCTTATAAATCATGAGGGGTACAGATAAGTTGAATGTCAGGTATCTTTTCTTGGGGGTGGAGGATTTCAAAACTATGGGGATATTTTAAGTTTTGAGGAGCAAACATTTTAAAAAAGACATGAGGGGCAATTATTTTACAGAGAGTTGTTCGTGTATGGAATGAACTTCCAGACAAAGTGGTGGAAGTGGGTACAGTTACAACGTTTAAAAGACATTTAGCTAAGTACATGAAGAAGAAATCAGTTTGGATGATGCTGTGAGCTGCTGCCCTCCCAGTCCATCTCTGAATAAATCCCTGATGGTTCTCATCCTCTGCTGCTGCCTGTGCAGTGGCGTGTGGAGACCAGCAGAGGGTGGCATTGCATCACATTAAAAAGCACGGAGACTGTCAGAACTGTCTCACACAGAGACACACAGATACACACACAAATACACCGATGCTGACACAAATAAGGAGAGCCTATCAGAATTTGTCTGGCTCTGTGGTTTGTCAATATTTCATTCATTCCATCTGGTGTGTGTCAGGATTTCTGTTCTTCCGTGGACAGCATTTCATTATTTGAGTCACTCTATGCGAGTACATCAGTATTTCCCCAATCCAGTGTGTGACAGTATTTCCGGTGTTCCATGGGGACTGTGACTCTATGAGATTTTCAATGCTTGATTATTGAAGATGTAAGGACAAGTTGGGAGACCAGTAAATATTAAAGGTTAATTTCAGTGTCTGAGCTGTCTGAAGGAGGAGGTGTCGGAGGGAGACTCCGTGCTTCCTTCCTGGGAGCTGGTGGAGACGATGTGTTGTGAGCCCAACCTCCTGCTCACCGAGACCATGGGGAATCCATTTGTATCGGCTCGATATAAAAGGGAGATGGCATCAGGGACACGATTTCTAAGCTGTGCCAGGTGGAAATGGAACTGACAGTGGGTTTAAAGTGAGAATTACCCTTCACTGAACATTGCTCCTTACTCGGTTGGTGGGACGTGTATATTTTGGAATCTCCACACGGGTCGTCCTTGTTCTCTTCAGCTCATTCCAGGGTCCTCCCCATGCGGCGGAGGAAGGTGGGTGAGGGAACTGATGTGGGGAGCACCATTGCCCTGCTTGGTCCTTTCTGTCCTATTCCAGGCTGTTTCTTCTGGAATGAGGGAAAGGGAGGAAGGGAATGAAGGTGAATGTGCGTGGCCCTGCTATTAGTGATGGTGTAGGTGAGGGGTGATTGGTGAGGTATCCGGATTGAATAAGTCGAAAGTGTTGGATCCATGCAGTGTTTTCAGCGTAGGGGAGTAGCGGAGATGTGTGAGAGAGAGAGAGAGAGTGATGGAGCAGAAAGAATACAGTGATACTTATCCTGACAGAGCGGGGATGGTTATTGTTGCTTGTCCTGTGTTGCTGGACATTTCTTCAGACTTCAGATACTGCACTGAGCTGAGTGGTGAGCTCAGGCCATGCTTGATGGGTCTGGTGGTGTGGTTTCCTCTGCTAAAAGAATGGTCCTTCTTTGTACTAGCCCATCCACCAGGACCTCCGTGTCCCTTTTGATAAATCTTGGTGCAATTGCCACTTATCAGTCAAGCTCGGTGTAAACCGTCCAGGCTGGCTCCGAACTGAGAAAGGTTAACTGTGTGCCCATTGGCCTTTTAAAGATGGCACCTGCACCAGGGGTAATGGAATACCAGGGCCATCCAGGCGATGGGAACTATTACCAGCCATGATGGGTGGGCGAATCAGGTTGGCATTGAATAAGAGGAATGGCATGTGCTGGGGTCGGTAGATAATGAAGGGAGTTTGATAAGATAGCATCAGAAAACTAGCTCGGCCTCCTGCAGACTATCCCTCTGTCATACTCAGTTAAAATGTCACTGAGACAAATTATTGTTACATTCAGCCCAATGAGCCAAAGACTGTGCTCACCACACTCTCAGTCACAAATGCAGAACAAATGCTCATTCAAAACTCTCCACCATCTGAACTCACAGCAATATCCTATTCACGCATCATTCCTGAAAAACTGACCTATGTTGCAAGATGCTATCAAAATGTTTACATCCTCCCATGACACTGCCTCTCAACGTCCCCCTCTCTGTATATGTATCTAACTCCTCCCATTTGTTGCTATTTAAACTGATTCCCCACCATCTCTCTCTGGCATTGATTTTCACACCCATGGCACCCCTTGTCATGGCACATTGGAGATATGGAGCTGTAAATGGATGGGAGCCGCACATCCTGTCACTTCCAGCATGGGCTGCAAATTTCCCCAGGCTGGGCAGCGATTTAACACAGCATTACCGTGCACTGCACTGGGGTGGTCTGTACAGATCTACACGCTGGGGAGGTAACTGCTCTGGGTTCACAGATCAGTTCAGTGGTGTTCACTTCACAGCCCCCCGTGCTGGAGCGATACCTGGTCCGGGTTTATAGATCAATGCACTCGTGTGGTCTGCACAGCTCTCCACAAACTGGACAGGCGTCTCGTCCGGGTTTATAGATCAGGGCACTGGTGTGGTCAGCACAGCTCCCCGTGCTGGACTGATATCTAGTTGACTGGTGAGGCCTGCACAGTGTCCCACTCTGGACAGATTGCCGGGTTATATTGAGCAGGACACTAGCCTAGTCTGCACAGAGCTCCATGCTGAACAGATATTTCATCTGGGTTTGTGGTGTCTGGGCCGGTTCTGTGAGGTGCATTGAGAATGTGAGATAACTGACCACTTCAGCTGATCTGGCAAAGCCTTTAATTTGTGTTTGCCAGTTGAGTTGAGTTTGGGGAGAGATTTCCACCGCGAGGCTGAGTGAAACTCACCAAAACTGATGGACAGAAGGGCCTTTGTGATGTGGATCTTTGTGACTCCATCACATTCTGTAACCGACATTCCCCGGAACATTCTGTAACTGACATTATTTGTGAACGGCTGGATGTCAGTTAATTGAACAAAAGACAAGATCCCGAGGGAAAATATCCCGTTCCAGGGAGAAGGAGACTCTGTTTCGAAATCCCGTCAGGCAGTTAAAGGGGTGAATACATTTTCCCTGTGTTCGTGTTTCTTCACAACCGAAATTTGACCACAATTGACCACAGACGAAAAGACTGAAATTTCCAACCTCCGTTTGTCTTCAGGGAATTGGGAGAGAATCCTTCAGGACAGCAACGTATTCACCCTCTATATCAGGAACTATAAAGAAGTGACCTGCGCCTGCTCTCGAGTGATCGAGTGTGTGAGAATGTTCCAGAAAACATCTGTTCTTATGAATGTGCGTTTGTGTCTTTCGGGACGGAGAGTTTCTTGTGCTTTACGTTACGTTTCTTGAAAAGAAAATGAGACATTACTATTTGTTATTTCAGCTTTTTCTTCAATAAATCAGTGATACATTTGAAAATGTCACTGGGTCCTCAATCAAACTGGTAACTTTGCCTCCAGGCTGATGTTTTATTTGTTTTCCTTCCTCACAGTTAACGTAGTGACGATGTATGTCCTGCTTTACAAAGATTGTGGATTGTCTCCGTGTATCAGACGTTACCTGGGGGCCATGGCAGTGGCGGATCTACTCGTCATTATCCTCGACCTGATATTGAGACACATTCCCATTGTTTATCGGGAACAGTTTCATTTCCTGTTGTACATCCCCGTGTGCAATATCCACGCCGTCCTGCTTTATGCAGCCACTGACTGTTCTGTCTGGTTCACCGTCACTTTCACCTTTGATCGATTTGT